TTTATGTTATTAAAAAGGTTATATAATTTTTCTATTCCATGCATGCATATTTATATCGATAAATCACTTCCAGCTCTTCATTGTTTACAAATAATTTTAGCGTGCAAAATTATTTACTAATAGTCTTATGTTTATTTAATAATATTGAATAATATAAATAATATAATATAAATATCATAAAGAATTTCTTTTAATTTTCATCATTGCTAATTGTCTGCTAAATTTATGTCATAAATTTTAAATATATTATATAATTTATTTAATATTATTATTATATTGCATTTCTGTTTGATTCTTATTATTTACTATCATTTTGTCAAAGTTTTATCAATATTCTCATTATATATCTTTATATATTTACAAGTCATATTTTTTTATTAATATTTTAAAATTGATACATTAAAAATGAATATAATTGGAGTAATAAAAATAGCACTGTTTAATATTGATAAATAAGAATTTATATGTTAAAATATACTTTCTAATATCAAGGTAGTAATAATTTATTGATTGATTAATACATATGAAATACGAAGTCAAATAACAAAAAAGAACATACTCGTTACTAATTATTAATAATGCATATATACTTTATGTCATAGTTTTTCAAATGATATTTGAAGAAAATAGTGTCACTAAAATGAAACTCTTGACACTTGTACAACCATAACAAATTTTCTTTATAGTTTCTTCTTTGTATGTGCGCGATACTAATCGTAATTCAAGCATCACCTTGCGTAGCCACCAAACAATGCCTGCATTACGTAGATACGCATGTATACCAGAGGGATAATATTCGATATGTACAATAAAATTTCCTTCACATTTTTCCCCTATTTTTGCCCCTCTTTCCTTTTTTCATCACACGTCTTTCCATAAGTATTGAACGAGCATGACGTTTTTGGCAAATCAACATACAATGATATAATGAACCTTGTGGTTTTTCTTGATTCGCTACCGTTTATATAATAATATAATGTAAGATAGAAAGTATACATTCATAATACTATTACTTAAAAAAAAATTAATTTTTACCTAATTAATAATTAATTTAATATAATAACAATTACAAGAATTAAATTAACTTAATGCATTAGATAATCATAATTGGAATGACAAAAATAAAAATGAATATTTAAATTTAATTCAAGCCAAAATAAACAAGCCACTTTAAAAAAAACATATTTCCATTAAAGGTAAAAATTTATTCTTATTTTTGACATCATTACATTTACTTAGTCGTCGAATATAGTTTATCTATAATAAGTATATAAAAATCTTATCAACAGTACACTTTATCAAAAATTTTTTTAAAAATAGCTAAAATATATTTTTCAACATATATGTACATATATACAAAGATAAGATAGAAAATAAATAATTTTATATGAAAGTAAAATTTCTAAAATTTAGTATTATATCACTTTGTTCCCAATTAAACATTAATTTTTAAAAACGGCAAACGTTCTTATATGAATCCGAAGAGAGAAAGAGACATTAATAGTATTTCATCTAATCGTGGTGCTCTATCCTAATGTAGGGTTTACGATAATACGTACATGGCAATCGCGATATTAATATCATATTGGAAAGTGCACACATGCGTGAAAAGTTTCATTTGTCACGGTAAAACACTTGCTCGAATCATTCTTATTATTTTTCATTCTTTTGTTCATGCGACTGACTTCGTTAATTTTATGAAGATATACATCTATTTTTTATACGTGAGAAATAAAAACAGTAAAAGTAAAATATATTGAAACAAGAAACTTCGTATTTATGCATATGAATTAAATAATTTAATTAAAAATTTAAATTATAAAGATTCATCCTAAAATTAAAATATATTAGTAATTTTTAAATAATAAACACACTTTCATTTAATTAATAGTTTGCTTAATTAATTATTTATAATTTTAAAACTCCTAATTGCAATGCAAAAGTCATTTAAGTTATAATATTAAATAAAATTTTAAATATTATTATTAAAATATGAATATCATGCATATGTTATGATAGATATAATAATTCTAAATATTATTCTATTCTATATTACTAAATAATGTAAGTATAAAAGTTATAATAAAAATAAAACAAAATAATTTTAAAATAGATAAAATTTGAAATTCATTTATCAATAACATTATGATTTCATAATTAAACGATTGAATGATATTTAAAAATTTATTAGTCATAATTATACAATAATTTATAATTTTAAAGTCTAAAGTGAAAATAAAACTTAGAGAAAAAAATTAAAAGTTTCATATAAATAAATATTTATTCTTAGATTCAAAATAATGAAGTTCAAATTTAATTTAAGCTAGAAAATATACAGATTAGGAGATAAACAGAAAAAATTTGCTAAAAATCAAGAAAAAAACAAGTAATCTGCCAAATACTTGTTGCTGAGTTTTTGAAATATATTTATTTGAAGGAGGTTTTAAGATAGTAAGTAATCAATTAAACCCAAGGTACGTTTCGGAGTGCATATTTTTTTTTTCGTCCATATGTACATAAAAAACACATTCAAATTACAAACCCACTTACATCTGCACATAAATTCGCATCCATATTCACGCACCCATATATTCAAACTTGCGTTCACTATTCATGCAGTGAAAAAATATCTGAAAGTGCATCAAGTGTTGCAACACTTTAAATAAATTAAATAAATTTTATAAATAATAAAATAAATAAATTTGTTTTTTTATCATTTTATAATTTATATATATATATTTTTTTTACTAAAATACCAAATAGATACTATATATAAATATGTACATATTTTAAAACCTGTTACTATGTAATCAAATAAAGTACTCATTCCTTTTTACAAATTTAATTTATGGGAGGAATTCTACAGATCACTATGTATACTATTTTAATATTTAATAATAATTTTTAAACAAATTTGTTCTTCAAGTTCTAAAAAAAAATGAATTTGAGTTAAAGTAATTTGAAATTGATTAGCAGTTGTAAATTTAAAATATTTTGCGTTATGTATGAACGGATTCATTAATATTATTTTTTTAATTTTTAACATTTTGTATGAATTTTTTATAAAAGGTAATATCATTAATTTTTTAAACAGAAATTAATGAATATTTTAATAATTTAAAATTCTTTTAATCATTTCATATTCAAATTATTGTCTGTTATATTTTTCTATATATTATATTTGTTGAATTTAAATAATATTAAAATAAACATAGTGACAAACGATTACAATTTATTGTATTTGCTAAATTAGAATACTATTTGTAAACTTCGCTATCTAAAATATGACTATCACCTTGACTAATCAAAATAACCCATAATATACACGAGTAAATTAATATTGATGAATTAGATTGGTTAAAGCTTAAGAATCATTTTAATATTTTCTGACCTGTAAGGTATAAACATGTATGTGCATGTATGAAAAATAAATAATGATTAAATTTTATAATCAATTGTACCTTACGTTAGTAATTATCGTATGCACAACTTATAGTTTATCCATGATTACAGGGAGACAGCTGAGCCGAACAATAGACTTTCACAAGACTTTTATTAGCGTATTATACAAACACCAAAAGTATAAAAGAATCCCCTTTTCTTTTATAACTATATATAAAGATACATATCTAATAATATATGCAATTTTGTTTTATACAAACTAAATTAATTAAATTAATAAAATTGGTTTTAAAATATAATTATTTTATTTATTTTTAATGATTGAAATACTTAGATTACATTAAATCTTTAAAATTATGAATACAAAAACTTTATTTAAATATCAATTAAATAATATTCCATAAGCATAATAAAATATAAAAAATTATTATTTATTAACTTTTGCTATATTATACTTATGTAAATAATTTAATTATATTAAATAAATATTTATAAATATTGAGATTGCACATAATTAATAATAATAAAATACATTTTCATGCTCCCATACGCATTAAAAAGAATTAATTCAAAGAATGAATATATCCTTTATCATCTATAAGATATGTAAAACTAATATTTAGTTAGTGCTTTATTGTACAGGGAGAAGTACATATTTTTTTACCATTGCATGCTTTGAATTTACATTAATATTTTAATCTGCTCAATTAAATACTCTTAATTTGAAAAATACTTCTATCATTAAAGTATATTATAACTAAAGTAGAATACAAATTTAAAAATCACTATTATATATATTATAGGAATTATTTGAGTTTTATACAACGATAAATGATATTTTATAAACGATATTTATAAAACGATATTTTATAAACGATAATAAAGAATAATCATAATATTTAAACATGAAATAAGACTACACGGAATGTTAAAATTGAAATATTAAAATTGTAATCTCTAATTAATATTTCTAACAAAATTATTTAAAAATTATGTTTCATAAGAAATAAATATGTCATATAGTAAAACATTTTTAAATGTACATGATGCACTTCGCATTCAAAATGTACACGTGAATGCGGATCATTGCATGTCTGTACATCCCCACTATAATTTTGTTTTCAAAATGTATCGCAAAAAGGATATCTTATGCAGCTATATTGGGTGTAGTAGTAACAGTGACGAAGGCGGTACCGTGACGACATCGGCAGAAAGGCAGCCTCCTGATAGCTCTTTAAATACAATTACATTTATAGTGGCAGTGAAATGAAAAGGGTCGTTTTGGTTGGTTGCGAGGGTTGGCCAAATTCAGCCGCACCGAGGGCTAGTGAGCTATCATTCAACCCCTCCACATCTGGATTTTTTTTGCCTCCTCTTTATATTTAAGCCACGTGTCTTACCAAAGCTCAGTTAGTTGACACCTTCTTAACATACTACATTCATGTACCTGATGGAATAAGAGAAGAAAATCCTCTACTGGATGGTTATATCTTTGGTGAAAACAACACGGCGAACGTTGCAAGTGGAGAAGTGTTGAATAAGCGTTTTATTATCATTTAAGTTATATTTATGTTGGATGTGTCAAAAAAAATAGTAATATGTACCCGATACTCGCAAACAATGCTCTTATCATGAGTATCGGGACACTACAGAAACCAGCAGCAGCAGTACACAAACAACCGACTTGTAACACGAGGCCAATGGTTAAAGCAGCAACTTTACTCGGCCAGAATTCTTCTACAGAAATTATCGATGTCTCTGGACTTTCTCAAAAATCTTCGCCACTAATTCAATATGTATACATTTTTATGCTATTCTATAACCAATAAATTTGATATTGGTTTTATTAAAGTTTACAAGCAATTTTAATAACAAAATATGTATTTTTTCTTAATAATATTCCTTGTAAAATGTAATGATTTTTAAATTAAATAATTTTTAATAGATAATATAATATAAAATTCGAGTTATTCGACAAAATAAAATTATTCAAATATAAATATTTCTTTTTTACAGGTAGAAGTCGCTGATATTGATGGTCAACTTTATAGTGTGGATCGTCATGTTAATACTTCTTGTTGGTTAAAAATTATCAGCATTGCTAAGGATTGCCAAAGTTGTAACGTATTATTAATGACAACTGATAAAGGAATTATTCTTAAAACTATAAGGAATATCACTCCAGGTGAACCATTACTAATGTGGTTTACCGAGCATGTTTTGGCTATGTTAAATATGCCATATTTAACTAATTTAAATATTCAAGGTAACTATTCTCATATTTATATAAATTTTTATTAAATTTTAGCCTTATTTTTATTTGTATAAACATTCGTTATATAAACTTTATATGAATATTTCCAATAAAATATATGTTTTTTTTATATAAAAGTCATGCTACAATATAAGTAATTAACGAATCTTAAGTTAAGGAAACCAAAGATATTAAATTATTTTCAAAAATTAATTAAATGTAATCTATTTAGGTCAAAATCGTTATATATGTCACATATGTAACGATCATTTTGAACATCCAAATCCATTGAAGATTCATTTAGCACTTAAGTGTAACCGTCTGGATAGCAACTATTTATGGATGCAATTGGCAAAAGAATTTGATTCAACACCACAACCAAAACTGTGTTTCAGTCTTTATCAAAAGTTACCGCCCTTTAGTTTAAAAAATTCTGAATTGTCGAGGACATCACCTTCCAGTGCTTCACCAGTATTTACTGAAACAGTAACAATTCGTAATATAAATATAAAAAATGGCTTAACTAATGATGTTTCACGGATTTGTTCAAATCAAACATTGCCAATATCATCAATTCAAGTTTCGCCATCACCCACACATATATCGTATTGTTCATCTTCATCATTAACAACACAAATTTTGTCAGTGAAAAAAAATATCAGCCAACGGCATTCTGCTTTTAAACCATATATTAATCAGAGCAACTCCTATGTAACAAACATTCCATCAACTCATGATAAACCAACCCTGATACCATTTCACGTGCATAAATCACCAGATACAGCATCTATGCGACCAGATGCTCAGGCTGCTCATATGGAAATAATAGTCAGCAATCTTGGCAAATCTAAGCAGGGTCATCTTTGTATTTATTGTGGAAAGATTTACTCTAGAAAATATGGACTCAAAATCCATATTAGGTATTTATTTTTAATTTTTTAATAAGGACGTTTATTAAATTTTTTTTGCAACTTTTGTATTATCTTGATATAAACTAAAATTTTTATAGACATTTCATATTTATAACATTGGGTAAATTAAAATAAATTTTTTTTTTCAGTCGCTTCATAGTTTTATTATACATTATTAAAAAATTTAAATATAAAAAATTTTAAAAAATCAAGTATATTATTTTATACTAAATAAAATATTTTAAATACTTAATTAATAACGTTTTTATATCAATGTATAATAAATAAAATAATAAATGTTCATAATTTTTTTCAAAAAAATTTTCCAAGTTTTGTATGACAATGATTATAAAATTCATAATTATAATAAACGAAACATATTTTTAAATAATTTGGAACATTATCTTAAATTTTTATTTATAATATAAATATCGAATTTTAAATTACATATCTTTTTAAATGAATAAATATTAAATACATAAATGAATTTTTTAATATTTATATATGTGCATATGTATATTTAAATTGAAAATTTAATTAATACTATGTAGTGGTATTATATTATTATATTTTATTTATTTCTAAAAATTATTTAATGTTTAAGGACACATACAGGATATAAACCATTAAAGTGTAAGTACTGTTTAAGGCCTTTTGGTGATCCAAGCAATTTAAATAAGCATGTTCGTCTTCATGCAGATGGAGAGACTCCATATAGATGCGACTTATGTGGAAAAGTATTAGTAAGACGACGAGATCTCGAAAGACATATTAGATCACGACATCAAGATAACTCTGACCATGTTTCTGATATTTCATCGGATGGAATGGACATTTAATTATATCAATATACTTCATCAATATAAAATAACTAGAGCTTTGTACCCAAAGCACTTAAAAAGTAAATAATCGCCAAGCTTGAAATATTTGCTCGAAATATTTTGTAAATTTTAATACTTTTCAAAATTAAGTTATAATGAAGGTCACAAAAAGGCCTTTGTTTTTATCCAAATATAACAGCTGCGCTGTTTTTTGTGTTAATTGAATAATAAAATGCAATGAAAATAGATTGTACTTTATATAATACTTTTATTAAAGAAAATGTTTATTTTTTCATAAATATCCATAGACGTAATTTCTGTTATTTTAGTTTGTACGTTTGTAAATCGAAATAAATTTGTTATATCTTTAATCCATTATTATTATTTTAATTATGTTAGATTTGTAATCGTACATTTTATATAAACAACATTTCAACTCTTTATAATACATATATTTAAAATTAAAATATTGTGTAAATTATATATTAATATTATATAGTAAATATGGATCAGTTCTATCACATATCAGTTGTAATTTTATACCAGTTTTCATTACTTAATGACAGTGAACGAGCGATCATATGTTAAAATATATATAATTATATTATAAATCAGTAGAGTCCAGTATTATAAAAAGAAATGAAAAACTTAATTTTATTGGAAAAAATTTGTGCGAATCTTCAAAATTTAATTTTCAAGACTTTTTTGAATAAAATAATATTTTAAATCAAATGAATTGAATATTTTACCAAGTATCTAATTCTTGAAGTAATAATAATTATTGATTTTTCTATAAAAATATAATTTAATATAATTTTTAAGGTTAATAAAATAAAAAGATAATATATTTTAACATAAATTCGAATGAAAACTTTATATCATTTGTAATAGATATGTAAAAAATTTAATGTTTATTAAATTTATAATTAAATCGATAATAATTTTGCTTGATTGAACTTATTAATATTTTTAATATTTATTTTTGTATGTCAGGTAGTCTTTATCAGCAGTGTAAATTATATTTCCATTCATAGAATTGAAAATTTTGTTATCAACAAATACTCTTGTACTTAGTGGGCAGTATTACAAGGTTGATTATTTATATAATTATGTTGTAGGATTGTGCATTTTTTTTATCAAAAGTTAATAATGGTATATTTTTTTGAAAATTAAAAATATAAAGAGAATCTGGAAATCATCGATTATACAATATTTCCATAAAATAATTTTTCACAGAACTTATTTCAATATATAGTAGTATATAATAATAGTTCCTGCATATAGCAAATCTAGAATTCTAATCTCCCTAAAAAAGATTTTCTAATCCTACTTCATATTAATGAAAGGTCATAAAGAAATTATATCCTTCAAAATACCTTATAATTTTTCTAGTAGGCGATTTTTGTATTAAATAATTCATTATGTAACTTAATACATCTTTTCAAATTTCTTATACGTTCCAGTTGTATATATAATTACTGTTTTAATTTTAATGACCGATGATCTTAATAAAATTAGATTTCTTTTTTTAATAATTTGCTATTTAAATAAATAAACATGGAATCATGCTTGTTAATAAATATAATTTAATACTTTTACGATAAAAAAATATTAATACTTTTCTGAAAATATAGAAGACGATTTTCAAATTCTTTTCAGTATAAATATTCAAAAATTATTTTTTAATTTAAATTATTTTCCGTGAATGAAACTATTCCTTAGCTTTATAAATAAGTAAAGAATTATTGATTTTTCTAGTAATTCATTTGTATTTTCTTAATTCTGTTTCTATAAGTATAATGAAAGTACTTGTTTGAATATTTCAAATATAAAAACTTTATTAACCTAAGTTTTTGTATGAAATACTTTCATTAACATTCTTCAAATATCGAATTTCAAAGTCAAAAAATTATAAAATATTAAAGTTTATAATTATTTGATAATTCCATCAATAATTATAATATGCAATATTTTTTGTTTTTTTAATTTTTTTTTATTTCGCGAAATTAATTTTTTTACTAACAAAATATACTTTTGTTATAAATATAAAATTATTTAACATAACATTTAAAATTTATTTATTTAACATTTTTATAAAATTAAAGTAAAAACGATCTTGTAATTACGTTCATACTAAAAAATATCATGTATGAAAATATTATATTTTTTTTTAATTTGAAAGACGCCTAATGACCAAATATTAAAAGTTGGGATGTAAGCGTATTGTAATAATATTGAACAAGTGCAAAATTTTGTTATCTATTGAAATTAATATGAATAAGCAGTTGCAAATATACGTTCACGAATTCACATCAACAAATTCTTTGAAAATATTTTGTCTTTGATATGTAGATGTAAGAACATAGAAGCGGAAAGTATTCACTAACTGGCTAGAGTTGCACTATCTGCAATACATAGTGAAATGTGGTGGTGACTTAAACTGCACGGAAAGATGATCGTTAAAGTCGGCGGTCGAGGACGAACTGCATAGTCGTGTTCTCAGATTATCGTTCTGCTAGTTCGATGACCTAAACGTTCAAGGTTATAGTGTATTCGAAATCATGCAATTGAGAAAACTTCAAAATCCAAGAGTCAGATTCTGAAATCCGGATAATAGCTCTTAACTTAATTTATGACATACAAAAAATTAAACAATTGAATAAACACTGTTTATAAAAATTTATTTTAATTAATTAGCAATATTTTAATGAAACTGTTCATTTATATCATATTTTGAAAATTTTTCAATATTAAGAAAATATACAACTGATATGATAAATACAACTAATATAAATAAAGCTAAAATAAAATAAAATAGTATTTTATAAAATAATATTTTATTTCATATATTCGGTTTTATAGTTATGTAGGATAGTATAATATTCAAATATAAGCCAAACTTGTACAAACATCATATTCTTATTGCTGTAAAATTATTAATTAATTACTATAATTTATTCCTACATTTATTCATTAATTTATATAAAATATAAAATATGAAAATAAATAAATAAATATTATAAAATATAGGCAAGTAAATAAATAATACATTGTATAAATTTTTAACGCTCTTTTATAAAAAAATTTTAATATAATTTTTAATTTTGCAATTATATAAATATTAATAAATGTGTATACAATTGTTTAAAATTTCTTGAAGCCCCTTTTATTTATATAAATATTTAAATTTCAACAATATTAAACTAAAATAAAAAGTTACTTATTTAAATACAAGAATTCAAATGGTAAAAAAATACAACATAAATTGATTTTCTACTTATTTAAATATTTTGCTAGTAATTAAACAAAATACTTCATATTTTCTTTTCGTTTCATAATTTTTATTATTTTTCACTTTATAATGTATTATTGCATATATTACTTGTATATAATTATTATCTTTATTAATAAAATTATTTTTACATTTATACTTAGTACTTGTAAAGGATTCTATAGATTATTTTGGAAGAAAACTTGAATAATTATATATTATACATTTACTTTGTAATCAATTCCAAGATTTAATATTTTTATTTGTACTTTTTTATTTTAGTTATCGTGTGTAAATTTTTTCTTAGAGTTAATTTCGATAATTTACAACGTCTGTATTCAAACACATACAAGCGTTAATATAAGGATGAATACTACACGTACTGTCATTTATATCACAGTAGTAAAAATTTTTAAAATTAAAAAAAACAAAAATTTTCATGATAAATATTTTGTTTTATTAGGGAATATAATTTTTCTGTATATTAAAAGAAATACATTAAAGTAATTATATTTTTTTGAACGGCATATAACGTAATTTTATATTTTGTAGTAAACACGCCAACTTGATATGAAAAATTAAGGTAGAAATTATTAATTTGTTATTTTTTCATTATATGTAAAGTTTATTAAAATTTAATGAATTTATTCGGAATACTTGATATTTAGTATTTATATTTACTATCCAATTCATATATTTGTATATTTCACTTTTTTTCCTATTTATAATTATCTTTTATAATTGTTATATCAAAACATAATACACACATATTTACTTAACTTATCTTATTTTACATCTATTAAATACATATGGAGTAGATATTAGTGCAGAATTAAAATATTGGTAGTTCAGAATAGTTCTGCTATTATCTACATCTGTCTTACTTTCATTACTGTTTACAGAAACTATATTAATTATATTTAAGAAAATCTGAACTAGAACTTTTGTGATATAAAATTTCTGTTATGAATGTTTACAATTAAAATTGTAAACATCATCATTGATATTTAATAGCATTTTTATACATACACACATGGATTTCTGTAGTTATCAACCCTTTTTTACTATTAAATACATGGAATCGACAATTTATTGATACATTATCCGCGTGTATCTGGCATATATATATATATATTATTAAATATATCAGTAGTCGATAAACTATTAGAATATACGTATGTCAAAAAAATTTTATGCAAAATCAAAATGTATTTTGTTTCATAATAAAAATTATATTTTATAAATTTCTTTTTATTTTTTATAAATTATATTTTTATAAATAAAAATTGATATTTTTTATGGTAATTCATTTAGACTATTACATTATATACTATATGACACAATATGTAATATACTTTATTTCAATTCAAAGAAGAGATATATCTTATTTAATTATTTACATACGCTTGCGCTAATAGTTAACCATTAAAAAAAAAAAAAAAAAAAAAAATATATATATATATATATATATATATATTAAAGTTCCTTATAATTATAGGAAAAGCGAACCCTTTTCTAGATTTACTAAAAAATTTATGAATATAGTAGCTTTTCATTTATTGACGATACTTTTTTATTTTACTTACACATACTTCCACACCTACTCAAAATAATTTCCTATATTTGCACTTCTAAATTGCATTTGTATATACATTTGTAAATATAAAGATTACATTAAAATAATTTTTTTAAAAAATTAAACCAATTCTGATAAAAATTTATAATTTTTATTCATAAATTAAAAAATCTATAAGATTTACTTTTAATTAATTTTGTTTAATTTCAAATATATTTTGTATATAATATTTAAATAAATGTCGAATCTTATAAAACCGAATAAGTTTTTAAAATAAAATAAACAGAAACAATGTTTTTATCTTGTTCATTATAGTTATAATTATTTAATTCAGAATTTAATCAAGGTTTATTTATAATAAAAAGTATCAGTATATAACTGATTCTTGTTTAAATATTATAAAACAGATTAAAATATATTTATAAATTATAATATAATGGAAATATAATATTTACTGTAAATTAAAAATCGAAATTATCGAATATTAATAATTTTTCATTATGATTTCAGAAAATGTAAATATTTATCTTAGAAATTCATTGAAATACTGTGGTATCATTAACAATACTGTTAACATTTTAAATGAAATGATATAAATTCGAATAAGATATATAATAAATGTACTAAATATTAGGATAAAAAAAACAACAATCACTAATAATTACAAAAAATCACTAATGAAATTTTGCGATAACATTGTGAAATTCAATCAATATAGAAACCTCATGGTACAATCATCATATTACTCTCTCTCTCTCTCTCTCTCTCGTTCTCTCCCCCTCCCTCCCACTTTCTCTCTCTTTGTCACTCTTCCACCCTTCACCCTTCTTGCGGTAATATATACTGATACGTTCAGTGCAAATATACAATTCTATATTAAAATAATTTTTATGTTTTTTTTATCATGAATGACTAAAATTATATATTGTATCTAGCTTTTCTAAAATTGAATAGAAATCTAAAATTTATAGTTGAAATAATTGTTTTAAATAATAATATAGAATTTTATGCCCTATTTATGAAAAAAAAACTTTTTTACTTGGCAAATCAATTAAGCTTTTGGTAAGAAAAATAATCTTATTATTCTAAAAAATAGATTAACTCACATAATTCAAGACGAATAATTTAATGATTAAGTAAACATTATTATTAGTTATAATATTTCAATAACACTATAAACGAAGATTTATAAAAGGAATAATAATGCTCATTCTTTTTTAATGTATACAATAACCTTTTCAATAACCCTAGATTTAAGTTTTCCTTTTTCCTGTAGTTCATATTATCTCTATTTAAAAATAACTATATATCATAATTTATTAAAATAATTGAAATATGATTATTGTTTAACCACATATTAGTATGCTTAACACAATATATTTATAAGTATTTGATACATTATCAAAAATAATATCTGCAATGTAAGTTTTATGTCTGCAAGCATTTTATTTTTATATATTTATTTATTTTTATACAATTTACGGAAAAAACTTAAAGTATAAACATTTTCACTTTTCTATGAAGGATTATAATACGAATAAAAAAATTATTAAAACAGTACTTGCCAAATAAGATTATTTTTCCTTGTGAAATACATCTTTAAGTACTCTTCAGTTTTTAAAAATAAAAATTATAAAGTGTAGCAATTTCTCTATATATTTCATAATAATTATTCATAAATTCAAAGTTTCTTGTAAAATCATTAATTTATTTTTAATTTTACTCAGTATTAGTAGTAACAATACCTTTTATATATACAGAATATTATTTTATTAAGATACATTTTATATATACTGAATATTCTTATATCTACTATATTTATATATACTGAATGTGTTTAACAGTTTTAAGAAAAATAATTTAAGGAAAATAATTTAGACTTATATACTTTTATTCTTTCAAATAGTAAAATACTGGATTAAAAAGTTCAATGTATTACTATACAAATATAATATTTTGTATGTATAATCCATTTCATATTTATAATTCATGTGCTAGAAATAATATATATATATCTAAATATGTATATGTGTGTATGAATATATTATCATGCAGAGGAAGTACTTAGTTCATTTATTGTCAACAAATATAAAAAGCCATGAACTATTACTTACAAGCAATAATAATTGCAATTCTAGCAGATAATAGTCATATCACAGTAAGTTAAAATTATAGATAATAAATATAATCATATTTTTTTACATAATTAAAAATAATTTCATTTTTAAACAAAATTATTTATTTTAATTCAAAAAGAGAATATCCTCAATTATTATTTAAATATGCTCTTTTATAAAATTTTAATAAAATTTATAGATTACTTGTTTTCGTCAAAACAAAATACATGTCGATATTTATTATGAATCACTGTGTCCATACAGTGCATTATTCATAACTAAGCAATTTATTCCTGTATATCAATATTTGCAAGATTTAATTACAGTTACTTTTATTCCTTTTGGAAAAGCGGTAAGCCATAATTCATATTTAAAGGAAATAAAAATATATTCATATAATAAATTATAAGATATTTCTTGAAAACTGATAGACAGCGATTGGATATCCAATAAAATTTATGTGTCAGCATGGTCCATCTGAGTGCATTGGAAATCAGGCACAAGCTTGTGCTTTAACAGAAATCATACATAATTTTAAAAGTAATGTTCAACAAAATAATGCAGTAAAAATTGTAGGTTGTGTAATGGCTAGCAGAAATCCTTCTGTTGCAGTACTCAAAGTATGATTGTTTATTAGCATAAAATGTTATCATTTTAATGTATCAGTATAATATTTAATTAAAAAAATTTATATACATTAAATAAAATGCTAAAAAAAGTATTTATTTTTAAAATTTAATTAGAAAAAGATTATTCTATTTAGAAAGGAAAATTATTTATTCAATATTCAATTTTCTATAAAAATACAATACAGCGAAAGTAAATTTATGTGTATATTATAAATATTATACTCATTTATTACATTTATATATACATAAATGATAATATTAGTAAATTTATAATAAATGCGTAAACAAATAATTAAAAATATTAGTAATAAATTTTTTAGTGTGTGAAAAACTTAGGTTTAGAAGCTAATTCGATTCAAAAGATTAAAATCTGTAAGAATACTAATATTGGTAAAGAACTTCTTGTAACTTATGGAAGGAAAACAGCAGCTTTTGAATCACCTCTTTTATCGGTTCCTTCCATCGTTATTAATGGGGTAAATAGAAATCACAATATTTTTATATATTTCAAAATAAATTTTACATTTATCATTTTAAAATTTTATTTTATTATATTATTTTTTACTATTATATTCATTTTACAGTAAATTAGTATTATTAATAAAACGAATCAAATACTCCTCAAATTAGTATAATTATTAAAATTTAAAGATTTTTATTATAGTATTAAATTAAACATAAATACATAAAACAATCAAATTGAAGAATGACTAAAATATTTAAATATTTGAGCTCTACATATTTTATTATTTTTTAGGCTAAAAATAAAAACGCCGTTTCCAATTTTATCGGAGAAATTTGCGACTTAATTTCTAAAGATAAAAAACCAAAGCCTTGTCAAAATTAAAAAAATGGTTAACGTATTAAGAATTTTATCTATCCTAAATTATTGAGTATCTTATAAATAATACATGAAAACTGATTTTTATTATTACTGATGTTTGCAAATTATATTTGTATTCGTTATATGTAATGTAATATATATGTAGAAAATTATAAGAATCAAATTTCTAATAAAGTTTTAATAAAGTATATAAGCAAATTAAAAAAATAATAATTTAATATTATAAAGTAAATGTTCATGATAAAAATTTTATAATATTTCATACATCATTCAACATGTTATCTTTTCATACCCAAATAAAAATATACACATTTTTTTATAAACAACAATTAGATATGGTATATTTAATACTAATTAAAGTTATATTCATTCATTTAATAGCAATAAATTATTCAAATTTTGTTATATATTTAGTAATATTAAATTAGACTTGAAGTATTGTTATTATAAATTATCGTAGCAATAAAATATTTATAATCTATTAAATATAGAAGATAATTTATGGTTTAATGTAAAATTGTATAAAATAAAACATATAAAATGCTTTAAAACACTTTGATAAGATGTTATGAATGATTATAAATACATCATAAGTTAGTTTTCTCATAACATGCATTGAGTGAAAGTAATTCAATTTGCTAAGTGATGGAATTTTATTATTATGCGACATAAGACCAAAAGTTTCACAAAATGATTATTAGAATATTTAATATTTGAAAAATATGATAAAAATCCTAATATTTTGTCTTTTATATTTATCATACATAATATTGTAAATTTTCCTACTGTTTTTGTTTGTTAATCTTTTGTTAATCAAACATTAATTTTGTTTGAATAGTATCATCGAAACTCATTAGCAATTTGAAATATTATAGCATAGTCAAAACAATGCACGGTCAAAAGCAATATTTATTTATGATGTAATCAATGTAAATATTATTATGCCGATCTGTTCGAGAATGTAAGAATACTTCCAGCTCATTAGACATTTGGAAAACTCGAGATAAGAGTTCTGGAAAAAGCAAACCCTTGATTATCTAAACAAAAACAATTCATAAACACATCCGGCGAGAATATGCGATAAAGTGTCTAACGAAACACGTCATAAAATTAATGCGACGAGAAATTCGACGCGACCACGACATAAAGTATCCATCGACAACAACCATAATACTTCTGGCATAATCAAGTCATAAAAATATAAGCAAAAACCACGTCGTTTGATATCCGAAAAAGAGATATTAAAGGCAACACTGCACCTATACGCTGTTGTCAAACACAGCTACATGTGGTTCGGATAGTGAAACAAGAACGCGCCTAAGAAGTCCGCCTCATGATGGAGATGCAAGTAAGAAGCGCTCTGATTGGAGCCGCCAATAACGAAAGAATCAATTCGTTTGGAGACGCCCAGAAAGAGGCGCTCTGATTGGAAACGCCAAGAAGGAGGCAATTCGTAAAGACCACGCGGTGACCGAGTGGATGCCATCAAGAAAGACGCCAGCAAGGCGCACGGGGGAGTCTCTTGTCACCAGAGAAGCCGGCAAAGCTGCTTCTCCAATGGAACGACCTTGTTCTTCTACGTGTATAATTCCACCACCACGTGCATTACATATAGAGGACTAGAAGGTTACGCCCTTCTACCTGACATGCAACGTACATTACCGCTCTGTGGCAATAGCAATACAAAACTCAAGAAACGAAGGAATTCAAACCATTATAATACAACTAATGCAATTATCGCAATAAACTAAAACAAATACCAATGCTATTTATTATTGAAAACATGCACTATCCTGTCCACTTGCCCGCAATCCTTCCTTCCACCATCTGGGAGTTTACACGTAACTTTAGATATTTGGCCCTCCTCGCTCGGTACTCTATTTTTAGAGACGATCAAACTATACATTTTGGATATATTATTAAGAGATATCTAGAAAATTTAGGAAAATTCCAGTGCATGATTTTAATAATTAATATAAAAGCCGAAAGTAAAAATCAAGAAACTGACAGTATCATAAAAATTTAATTAAAGACAAAAAATATCAATAATTTGAAAAACGGTTTCAAAATTACCAGTTTTGAAATTGAACCATCAAGGCAAAATCTAAAGTGACATAGATGCAATAATTAGCTAAAAAGATCTTGACTAGAATTTTATAAAGTACGTAGAGTACAACATTCACTAATAAATCTAATAAAACATATTCATAAAAAATATTATACTTTTAAAATTTTTATTTGATAAAGCAATTAACGGTTTCCATATTAATAATATTGAATTGAGTTCAAATTACTACATAACCTCACATATTCTGCAAATTCCATCTGCGGCCAATATAATTTGTTTCTTGGTTAAAAACATAGCCTAAAAAAGAATTTTGCTTTAAAAGAGGATGCAAATTTAATACAAATTACGATGTTTCTGTTAAACCCTATTATATGAGCAAAATTCAGGTATTGTCGTATAATTAGCAGAAATAGACAATTATGTGTTAAGTAGTGAAATGTATTTTTATAAGATAATACATATTCATTTATTTTATTCTACTGTGTATTAGAAACATAAATCAAGGTTAATATAAATAAAATAAAAATAATTAAATTACTTAAAGCTTCATATAAAATACTTACATCCGTTTTATATATTTCAATACTTATCCGATTTCTAGATTTAAATATTTATCCGATATTTTGAAATTTACAACTTGCGTATCAATTTTGCATAAGCAATTTGTTATTATATCTTATATTTATATTTATATTAATAATAATAAACTAAAATAATATGGCTTGGAAATATCGGCGACTTAAAAATTATATTTTATATTGTATAATACGAAAAAAACTTTTCATTAGAAATTAGTTATAGAAAAGAATATACTTTGCAATTATTTAGACAACGTAAAAGTATTTGAATGAATTTTTTATAAATTTTTATGATTTTTCCACTAATTTATCTAATGTCTGACCAAAGTCATCAGTGAAATTTAATTATAACAATATAATTACAAAATCCGAAAAAAAGATTAAATCTGTGAAATAGATTAATATTATTAAATAGATTTTGATAGTATTAATTTATATCACTATAAAATGCTTAAATAGTATATGCTAAACGTTTCAACATAGTGCATACATTTATATAATTAAAATCTTTTATATTTAAAATAAATAATTGAGGTACACTGTTAATGGATTTAAAAAATTCAGACATAACATTATTATTATAAAAAAGCTTTTCAAAAAATAGAATATGCTCTTTTAATAGAAATCTAACATATGTTATTATGGTTTTTTTTATAAAAGAACGAGCGATTTATGATCGTGAAACACTATTTTCTGATGAATCTAAGAAAGAAATGAACTATTTTAGAGGAAATCACATATCAAAAACATAAAGATCATGCTTAGTGACGATATTATTTCAGATTATATAGTTTGAACTCGGATATTAACCATAAAGAAGTTACGCTTGGAATTTATAATATTAATAAAATTACATATTTAAAAATAAACTATTAAACTAATATAAAAAATGATAAAAAGGAAATTTTGGAATATCAATTATATAAATTTTTCTACTGTAAACCTTGAATTAAAAAAATTCAAATATATACCAGCATAAAACTAATCTAATGTATTAAAGTCTAATGAATTAAAAGTAGTAATTATTTTATTAGTATAGTATTACTTTTTTCTATAAAATAAAAGTACACAATGGTAATATATATTTAAGTACTATTAGTATTTGTTCAGAATTGGAGCATTTTTTCGAGGCCTACGGTTTTCGGAAATTCACTAAGCCCTTGAATGTTAACATGTGACAAGCAGAATTCTCGACTAGCTCAAAGTTTAGATTCTCGAACGTTCTGCAAGTCGGTTAGTCTCCGCATAGCAGCACCTAAGCATTGCTGCCAGCTTCTAGTTACCGCGCTGATACTTAAAGAAGCGCACATCAATACTCTTCGTAGTTATCACTCAGCAGTGATTCAGTACACAGTGTCAGTTATTCCTCCGAGTCAGTTACTCATCCTAGCCAGTCATCTACGCTTCAGCCACGCTATTAAGTCAGAGTCTACAGCTGAGAGAAAGTCACACGTTTTCTCAGTGCAGTTATTGTAAGAAACACACGTTCAATTTTTCAATGTGCAATGGTTAACAACCAGTCAAGGGCTGACGGCAGTTCTAGGAAATAGTGGACTACACGAAGTATAGTATCGAACCTTCCTTCACACGAAGGTGTGCCAGCAGTCTTTATTGAGAATAATTACCACATAAGGAATCTCATACTTCCCTTCACGAGTATAGCCGATCTCCCTGCTAATCCTTGCAACGTTATCACAAACCAAATTTTCATACTCCCCTTCATGAGTATGGTCAACTCTCCCTGCTAATCCTTACAACGTTAGCACAGACCATAAGTAATCCCATACTCCCTTTATGAACTAACCTTTTCAACATTAGCATAAACCTCAAATCAAGCCATATTCCCCTTTGTTCGAGATTGAAGCCAGTTTTCAATATCACCGATTGTCGGTATCGCCGGCCTTTTAGATCTCAGATTTCTGTAAATACTTGGACGAGAATTTTTCGTCTATGTGTTATGTTTTGGTTTCAAGTGTCCCGTAATGTTTATATGGTCTTCGGGTACTAACATCGTCCGGAAGTTTTCTATCGGTATTACGCCTTACTTTTCTTTCTACGCCTCATGTAAGATTCCAGTGCAACAACGACGATGCTTTGTTGCTAACTAAGTGAGCGTGGATATATATAAGACAAGCACGCGGCTAATCACCTCTTGCCGAACCACCCTCGCTCAACTGCGCTTGCGGCTAACATCTTTCCGTGACCCGACCGCAGTGAACCGATCATAGTAAACCGATCTAACCATCTACCAGTAGAAGTATATAAATATAAATTCAAATTATTAAAAATTTTTAATTTCAATATAATTATAAGATATTTAATAGTATTTAATAGAATTATTAATTTTAAACTAATTTACTTAATGAAATTAAATTTTTATTTTCAA